GGGAAGGGTTCCTAATTCCATCCCCCGAGCCCGGGGCCTGCCCGGGCTTTGTACGCAGCTTGTAAGCAAGCTGTGGCGCTTCACTGCTTGCAGCATGTGTCTGCTTAGTGTCGCTCTTGACGTTTCACTGAAAGGGGCATTTTTTAAAATTATCAACCTGGTTCTTATTTTGTCCTGCATCTTACGCTCCTTTTTTCTTCAGCTTTTAGAGCCTGTTTCTGAAGGGAAGCCGGCCAGGAGAGCAGAGCCCTCTGAAAGAACTGACATCCCTGCCCTAACCAATGTACGAAACAGCACATACTGCTTCTGAGACGTTTGTAGCTGTTCTCAGGTCACACAAAAAAGCTGAAAATGTGTAACTTCATATTTGATGGTCCATCTTTGTATAAAATGATGTACTAAAACATTCAAGAAAAATTCTTAAATTGCCTTGATGTTTACTGTTATGCTGACAGTATTTTAAAAGCCAGCTTTCTGCCTGACATCGCTACTGTTGTAGTTCTAGTTGACAGAGGTGGTTGTCTTCTTCCAGTTTTATTGCCATGTTTACTATAATTCTCCTGTTTCTTATTTTTGTATTTTGTTGAGACAAGGATGTTCTTCAAAGTGATAGATCTCCTGTAGTCTTTTATTAGGCTACAGAAAGGGAACAAACAACTTCACTAGGCACACAGGAAATACAGAATACCTGAAAACCAGTTCTTGAAAGAGAGTTTCCAGCAGATAATATCTGATGCTATAGGTACAGAAATTTAAGCTCTAACTAACTTAGCAGAATAGAATAATGACTTCTCAAAGAGAACAAACTGTCAAAGAGCTCCACAGTGGGGTGTTTTTCCATCCTCTAGGAAGCATCTGACATTACAATCGCAAAGAGAAGATCAAATGAGACACTGTTTTGGCATGGAAATTATTGTCTTCGTAAACTTCAGGCTAAGTTTTCTTTTTTTGAATCATTCATCCTGTTACCTGTTCCTAGTTTATGACTTTTGGAAAGACTCCTATGAATGAAAACCCTCTTCTGTTTTTTTCTAAACAATATAAAACCGTATTTCTATTAGAATCTGTTAATGACTAAAATATTCAGTTGAGCATAGACTGTGACTTTGGTTAGCCTATGCACAGGTAAACTGTGTGTACCTTGGATTCCAGAAAATCTGTCTGCAAAAGGTTTTTTTAAGTATGGCTCTTACATTAATGCAAGTACTTCCTTAGGATCAGAATGAGCTAGGCATTTTTGCTGTTGCGCTGAATTGGACAAAAACATGGAGGATGCGACAGGTTTAAATTGTCATTTTATAGGCTACTAAACTCAAGACATTCCATGTAATAGTCATAGTCCTGTCTAGTCCAGTGTTGGCTCTGCCTGCCAGGAAAGGTGTATTAAATCAACATGAGAGGAGACTTGACCATGCTAAAATATAAACAGGTAGCTACGTAGTTGGCGCTTTTTTTTTTTTTTTTTTTAATTTTCAGTGTGTTAACTGATGCTGTTTCTGTTTTGTAAGGACCTTCATTTACCTGTTGCTGTACCTGAAGTTCCCTCCTCACCAAGACATGAATTTCCTGCAGACTGGAGTCTTAAAACACGACTTTTATTTATGTCTTCCCATCCTTTTACCTGGGCAGAACATTTAAAAGCACAAGAGGAAGCCCAAGGATTTGCTCAGCATTGTAGAGCTACAGAAACAAACTTGCCACAGAGCATACAGGTAAAACTTGCAGAGGGCAGCTCGAAGCTCCAGCTTTAGAAAGGAAAGTGTACCTTTGCACTTTTCCTTAAACATCCTGCCAGCAAAGGTTTGATTGTGTCTTGGATTGATCTTACTTGCATTATGAATAAGGCTCATCATAGACTACTAATCTCATTCCATCCATGGCTTGTGCTCACAGTGGCAAACAGTGGTAAGTGAGAGGTTGTTTAACTTCAGCTGTGGAGCAGTTGCCATCCGAATTTTTTCAGTCCGGCTTATTCACAAGCCTGGGAGTATTTTTTTTTAGTATCTAGTGTAATATTTTTTTAACCCATCACTTGCAATGCTGCCTTAAGTAAACTATTACTGGCCTCATGAAATACTTCTTGAAATCTAGGAACCAAAACTGTCCACAGAACTGCGCTGTGCCTTTCAGCAAAGCCTCGTTTACTGGCTTCACCCTTCACTGCCATGGCTGCAGCTGTTCCCTCGGATTGGAGCAGATAGAAAAATAGCTGGAAAGGCTAGTCCTTGGTCACAGGATGAAGCCTTGCAACAAGTGCTAATGAGCGACTGGTAAGTGGAACCAAACACCTGATGTATTAGTACTTTTAAGACAATGGGATTTTAATTAACGTACAAGTTCTTGCCATTTTTATGAAAAAGCTTTTTGGTTTTTTTTTCCCCAGCTGTAGAATGCTTGTTATTTTGAGGGCCAGGCTAGGGAAATAAGTTTAAGACTAAAGCTACCTTCTTGTGCTAAATGCTCCTCTCCAATCCTAGTTATTGATTTGGGTAGAATTCTGTAAATCTGGCTAGCAAGTTGCCTTTGATGCTTCGCGTAAACTCCGCATGGTAGAAAGCAAGTATGCTGTAAGAGCAAGGCACTCACAGATGGGCTGCGTTTCAGGAGAGTGCAGCTTCCTAGATGTTGAGCAGGTCTGAAAATCTGACTCATGAGTCAATGATGTGCCCTCAAACCCATGCAGACTACACGCCAGCACCGCCCAGCCAAATCCCATTTAATGTGTTCATAGCAAAGAATTAACTTCAGTTACAGAATTGTTTTATTGTCATGTGCAGGTCTGTCAGCTTTACTTCTCTGTACAATCTGCTCAAAGCCAAGCTCTGTCCCTACTTCTATGTGTGTACCTACCAGTTCACTGTCCTGTTCCGTGCGGCTGGTCTTGCGGGAAGTGACGTTATCACAGCTGTAATTTCTCCCACAACTAGAGGGTTAAGGGAAGCCATGAGAAATGAAGGTAAGGTGAAACCAGTCCAACTGGGATTTGAATAACTGGTAAAGTGCATTAGCTGTGTTACAAAACCATTCCTTGCTTTCTTTCCCTCTCTGTTGAAGGCATAGAGTTTTCTTTACCTTTGGTAGAAGAAAATAGAACCAGAAAACGGAAAAGCTCTGAAGTGAGTTTGGAAACTGAAGTTGCTAACAGCCTCGAAGTGGGCAACAGCATGGAAAATGGCGAGTATGTAATAAGTCTCCTACAATGCTCAAACTCAAGGGCATCTACAGACTCCCATGCATTCCATTTGGAAAACCTTTGTAGGAAGTATTGCCCTCCTGACACTGATTCTGTGTTTCCCAGGGAACTAGCTCCAAGTGATGATGATGATGAAAGTTTCTCTTGGCTTGAGGAGATGGGAGTCCAAGACAAGGTTAAGAAACCAGATGCTATTTCTATTAAACTGTATCCTTTCTCTGCACATTGAGATGTATGACACTGGAAAACCCTGCTGGTGTTATCTTTTTGTAGTATAGATTTAAGTTTTGTAAAAGCATTTGAGAACTGATTTCCAAATAGTAATTGTCATATTACTGCATATTAAGAGACTCTGCCTGCCTTTTTGACGTTCTTTATGGCAAGTATTTCTAGATGCTGCTCTTCTTGAAGGAAAAGCCATTGTAAATTGTTAATGTAGGCTTTGTAAAGTCCATCTGTTAGGCACAAACTGATTGTATCACCTCACATACAGGTTCACTGGAAGGACTCATTAGAATTTTTTTTTTTTTTTTTTTTTTTTAAGGTGTATGTTAATGTGGGCTAGGTGTACACTTGGAAGTAGTATTGCATAGTAGGGACACAGCTGTAGACCAGAGCAGCTGTTGCTGAGAACCTGTAGGTATTTCAGAGGGACACATTACCTCTGTCTTCCTCTGCTTCCATTTGCACCTGGAGCAGGTGAGGTGCACTGCCCCACACAGCTTCTGCTGGCTTTCACCCTAGAGGAATCTCGTTTCATCCCCCTGAGGCTGCCCCACAGCAATGCACCATAAGTGGGGACTGTCGGGGAACGCGCTTCAAAAGCAGACTCCTGATCTGAACTCTAAATGCTTGCGTTTTTTCTGTTTGGTTTGGAGCAAAATTCAGAGTAAAACTAGGAGCTGCTAACTTCATAGGTATTTACTAAACATGACTTGCCAGCTGTACGACATTGGACTTGCAAAATGCTTTTCATTTCACAACTTCAGTAATGAAATCAGAAGTCAGGTTTAAGCTGCTGCTTAATATTTGAAGAACAAATCCAAATTGGTGTAAAGCTTGCTGGGGTTTTTTTTGGTTTTGTTTGTTCAAATGACTTGCTTGGTCAGATGCAGCTTCTTCTGGAGTTGCACTGCTCTGATTCTTCTTCCTGTGGTGCCTTGATGCTTTTCACTGCCTCGTGGTTTTCCTTTGACTCCAGTCAATACAGTCGTAAGGAGAAGCACGAGGTGCGGATGGATCACAAGCCCGAATCCCTTGCGTTAGTGAAAGGAACAAACACATTCACCTTGCTGAACTTCTTGATAAACTGCAAGAGCCTGGTGGCTGTTGCAGGCCCGCAGGCAGGGCTTCCACCAACTTTGTTGTCCCCTGTTGCTTTCCGAGGTGGAACAATGCAAACGCTCAAAGTAAGTAATGCAACCGTGTCTCTTTCCTTTGAAAAGAATATTGTTTCTTCATTCAGTAAATTAGACAGTGACTTTGTATAGTCTCCCTCAGGTACAGCAGAGTAATTTTTGTAGCTGTAGCCTGAGGTAGCACCCTGACTGTGTAACAGGCGGCCTCCTAAATCGTCTATCCACATAGATCTGTGCTGCTAAACTGAAATGCCTATGTTTCTATTCTTCATGTCCTGATACCTAAGAGGTTAAGCAGACTTCCCAGACACTAAAACGATTCTTAAAAGATTCTTGTGAGCTCTTATGGGGTCTCAGACTATCACAGCTCCTTGCAAGTAGGGAGCCTCTGAACCACAGCTCACCATCTTTTACTATGAGGAGGTGGTGGATAGTAAAGGATATGCTAGTAATACAGGTAGTGCAGCCCTCTTCCACCACAGTAGTTCAATACTGTTTTTCTGCAGTTAGTTAACTTCCTTAATGCTGCACAGCGTCCCTGTGTGTCACAGTTGGTACATTTTGGGAGTTGTTACAAAGACAGTCAAACCATCGTAATACTCGTGTATTGAACAGTGAGTTGACAATATCTAAAAGCATTGAACTTTTCATAGGACTCTAGCATTGCAGCGTTCAAGTAAATGAAAATTAGGACTTGATTTGCTGCATCAAAAACTAATCCTATGTGCTCTTGTCTTCAGGCTCGAAGTATAAATGCCAAAGCCAGGGTTCACTTGGCTTACGAGGATATATTCAGCTTGGAGATCGTAGGCCCCATCATGCCTCACTCCCTGCATTCGTTGACCATGCTGCTCAGGGTGGCGCAGAGGGGAGCCTTCTCTGCTGCGTTACATACACACGAGCCAACTGCTGTGTTTAACACTAACCTTGACAATGCGAGCCCTGCCTCAAATAAGGTAAGGAAACTGGCAGAGACAGGCTTTCCTGTTTGGAATAGTATCTTTATTTACAAACCATAGGACACCGAGTGACACAAAACTGTCCCTTAATACCTTAGTTTACACCCAATTACTTGTCATCACCACCTGGCAGTCCTTGGGGCTTGTCATTCCCTCAGAACTGGAATAATCAGAAAACTAGCTTTTCAGGAGTCGGGAATTCCCCAGAGGTACACAAACGAACATTAAAAACGGCAGGTATTTCAAACGGAAATACCCATTCCATGTCTCTCCTCTTCATGTGAATTTCCGCAGGAACCCACAGGCAAAGACATTCCTAGGTGTGGACTGCAGCCCGAGGCCTGGGACCAACTGAGTCAGTGTCCAACACTGGGAAAATCTGCCATCCGATTTCTGGAAATGAAGGATTACACTTATACCTGGAAGTCCTAGGTATGCTAGTTCCATCTAATGGAAGAGAATGCTCTCTAGCATGCACTTGCTGTACTTCATTGGGGTCTACGTGGGCAGCACCTATGCAGTACCAGGAGGGATACAATCTGGTTGGACATCACAGACAACTATTGCACATCACCCATCATAAAACACTTCAAAGGCCGTTTGAGGGAAATGGAAGGAAGAGGCCTTGGACCCCTCCTTTTGTATTTTAGAAAGCTTTTTTAAAATAAAACATGATAAAAACATTATTATCTATTTTACTGGTCTGAATTGCATCTGGAAGGTCCGTATTCTTCATGCACAGGCAAATTCTGAAGTACAGAATTTCTGCTACTGCTCTGTGCAGTAACTCATCACCATTTTGGATGGGTGGACTTCCCAGATGGCTCATAGCACCCTGCCAGAAGCTCCTTGATAGCTACACCTTGGTATGTTGCACCTCTTGGTTTAGAGTCAGCTCTGAACTCCGCACAGATGAAAGTCCGATGGCCGCAAGCAGAGAGTTTGAATCGGATTCAAAGGCTGATTCCTGAGAACTGCTTGGCATAGCTCTCCAGTCTTCCCATACCCACTTACTTACTTTAAAATGAGCTAGATGCTTAAAAAGCAATTTGTACAAACTATAACCTGAATCCAAAGAAGTTGGAGCCAGCTAATCAAAGCCAGAGAAAAATCATCGGCAGCAGGGGGATGCTGATCTGCCTCGACATCCATAGCAATAATAGAGCCTACTACCAGGTTTAATGCAGTCTGTTTCGCTTCAGGCAGTCAAAGCTGGTTTTTGGAGGCATGTTATGTCGCTTCTTACACAGCTATCAGGAGGTCAGATTCCTGCAGCAGAGAATACTAAATCCAAAGAGCAGTATGTAGAACACCATCATGCTTGTGCACTCCAGCAAATTTCTAATTCAACTGTGCACAGAAAATAAAGCAGTGCTCATGCATCATGGTCAGCTGCCCTAATCTTTACTACAGTGCTGTTCTGCTCTCCGACTCAAAATCCACCTGGGATACTGAAACAAGTCAGGTTAGACTGTAGCCAGGTCTTACTTGGGGAAACAACCTGTAAACTTCAAAACGTGGGCACGTAAACAAGTTAATCTGCAGATTGAGGCATGGTGGAACCTTCTTCTGCCTTCCAGTTACTTGGTATCGACATCACTTGACATATCCTACCCCACAAATACAGCAGGTATACAATTACACTGCAATACTTTATGTTTACATTTGTTACTTTACAGTAACTACCATGAGACTGTGAGCCTAGTGGCACACTGAACAAGAAAACACCTAGAAAACCTTGATAAAGTCCCCTTCTTATGCTGGGAAAGAGGCACCTTAGAATATTAAATACTTAGCTAATGTCAAATACTCCGTTTCTGGTGGTAACTCCACTTCCATTCCCACTTTGTAAGAGAGTAACAGTTGATGCCTTTTTTGATCTGATTTGTCTGCCTCCATCAGTCATTGCCTCTGCTACCGGGCATTGCAATCTGCTGAAACTAACCTTTAGCTTGACGCTGTAGGTCAACAGTGGCTCTCCCAGCGGCTGCGTCCTGGCGCGGCTTCCCCTGCTGTTGTACGGGCGAGCCCTTCTGAAAGCTGCTCGTGACCCGAGAACCCACAACCCCAGTTCTGAAACAGGCATCTTCTGAGCGTGTGCCCGAGGAACAGGCCTATTTACAGAGCGTTAGCACATGGAGCAAGTTACTGCGAGCAGTAGGGAAAAGCAATTCTGCAGCTGCCTCTACAGGAAAGCAATTTTAATCAAGCCAATAAGCATTCTGGTATGTGGACTCAAGCCAGTTTCTAGGAAATACAAACTGAAATTAATAGTAATTCTTGTATTTTCACATCTAGCCTGTGAGAGTTAAGCATTCTGGTATGTGGACTCAAGCCAGTTTCTAGGAAATACAAGAATTACTATTAATTTCAGTTTGTTTGTATTTTCACATCTAGCTTGTGAGAGTTATGGAGAGACACTAATGCCAATTAACAGCTGGCAGTCGTTTAAAAGAATCTGAATTGCAATTACATTCTTGTAGTCTAGAACTGTTTAATTTCAAAAATTTACCACCACATTCTTTATCACGTGCCTTGCACCAGTACCTGAGCTGTAGCTCCTCCTTGTACTGTAAACCATCAGTTGGTTTTAAGTCATAGCTTTGCCTGTAATTTCAGTAGTATGCTACTGAAATTACTGCTCCAGTAGCTTCCAGCTCAGGCATTCAGTGCTGTTCTTGAAGCGTACTTGACTCCAGTGAACATTCCCTGGAGCAGTTCCAGCACTGTGCTACCCACTCTGCTGCCCTTCCACCTCAGGGTATTTTCAGTAACTACTGCCATTATTCCAGATGCTTCTGGAGCAGTAAGATTGATTTAAACTGTCCAAATGGGTGAATTTTCATCACAAACTATGATTCATTTGGCAGAGCTATACTGTAGCAGTTGATGATTTCATCTAGGTTTTTGCACTTTAAGAGGCAGTTTCACCTTCCCGCTCCTCCAGTCCTATTTAAAAATTACAAATGAGAAGACTGCCAAGAAATTGTTCTGGTGGAAGCCGGTTACAAGTTCTCGGGTATCTGCTTCCAAATGCTCCTCCCTCGTGTGATGGGAGAGTCCGAAGCACTTTCGGCAAGGTTACTTCTAGGAAAGTAATTCTGCAGCGAAAGGAAACCCAACAGCCAAACAGCTCATCTCTTCCATCAGCAGGAGTCACAGACTAAAGACAGCTAAAGCACTGCATAAATAACCAGGTTCCAAGAGAGTGTTTCCTAGTTGTTCTTTTTAATATATCACTACTCATCTATTCCTCCATGCAAAGGACACTCAAACCAATTCAAATTTACAAATTTAACAGAAGCACATTGCTGCTCTAGCTTTAGATTCATGTATCATTCTAAACAACAAGGAATGAAACTAAAACAGAAACCTCAAAATCAGGAAGCGTCATAATTAGGGCATTACAGACCTTAATTAGTTTCTTTTTTTTAACTCTTCCGTAAGACCAAAGGTTAAATCCACATACAGTACCACATCTTTTAAGGCATGAAATCCAGAACTTGCCTAAATAGTTATTTTTTAAATTAAGTCCTCCATGGGACTGAATTCATCTGCTCCTTGCTGCTGTTGAGATAACATGTGTCTTTACATTATACATGGGGAATACAGACCCAAAAAAACCCGAACATGACAACAAGTACAAGAGATTGTATGTTCCCAGATTTGATACTGTACAGCTGTGAAACCAGTGCTTACATGGAGGCCACAGACTAAACAGAACGATCAACATCTTCGATGTTTCAGCTCTATCAAATCAGACATTTAAACGGAAGTCTGATTAGGAGCTGCTCCCACATCCCGAGTTAATTACTTTAAGTCATACACCAAAAAGCCAGACTTCAGCCAAGACAGATACAACACCCAGTTCTCCCAGAGTAGATCTTTCCATCACTGTACCATCGTATTTACTTTTGGTTTTTAGACACACCTTCTGACTAGTTCAGCAAATGAGGCAAGGAGATCTTCAAATATTTAGCCAGAGACTGAAGGCGAGAAGCCAAAGGGAAAAAAGTTTAATTAAAAAGACAACTGTGTCCATGAAAATTAACGCAGGCATTTCTAGAGCGCTTATGACAGACTAATAAGGGGCTTTATTTCTTGGAAGTGTGTGGCAGAGAACCAAGTTAAGTTTTCTTTGCTGTACACAAGACATTGATCCATGGCCTTTCAGGGCAAAGACAGACACCTTGTTCTGTAACAGTTGGCAGAATACACACAGTCACCTTACTCTGTGGAAGAAGCGGTACTAGTAATTCCTCACCTCCATGTTCCTACTCCCATCGCAAAGGTAACTCGCTTTAGGCCTGAGCACAGCCTTACTGCGTGCAAACTGGCTTTTGTTCCTCTCCCAGATGAAGCTCTGGACAGTAGATGTAATACAAAGAGACCTCAAAAAGACTCTTCGAAATAAGCACCTGAACTACTAGAGTCCCTAAATCCTGGCAATCTGCTCATAACTCAGACAAATCTGGCAAGAGGTGTACAATGCCCTTTCCAATTCAAAGTGCACATAGCTAAAGCACTACTACTACTTAAATAAAATTAAAAAGGGAAAAAAAAACCCCAAACAACAAAAAGGAGGAGGAAAAGCTGTCTACATCCTCTCCCTTGTCAAACTGCCAAAACTCTGGATCAGGCTGCCTCCTTGAGGGCAGAGTACCATTATGGAAAATTTAAGCCCCAGGAGGCAATTTTGGTAACAGTGCAAAGCAACCAAAACTAACTGGGACCGATTCTGTAACCCTACCAGCTGTTGATAATCTTCATAAAGCATACTTTTATACTGTGCGTTTCTTCCAAAAGTTGTTTTGGCATATGTTTTAATTACTGTTTACTGACCAGTGATTGAGATTATGAACTTGTGCTGCTTTATTGACCAAGTTGGGTACAACAATTTAAGCATCATTCTATCCCCTCCCTCCCCCCGAATCCAGTTGTAGATCTGTTAAGAGTTTAAAATTCACATTAACCACAAATTCATACAATCAACATCAGGCAGTGTGTTAATTTGTTTGGAATAGACAACTCCATCATCTCCCTTCGTAGAACATGCAGGGAGAGTCACCTTTACATTGCGAGTCTCGTCGGTTCCATTGCTGGACTTTCTGCCATCCCTTTTGCAAGCACGTCTTTTGCCTAACCGCCTCTGTCCTAGAGTACGGGCTGTACGGCCAGGCGCAGCACGCCACCGAGTTAAACCCCCAAACAAAATTCAAAGAGAAGCCACGGCGTTAACACCGTACAACAGGGCTGCTGCCGCATGCTCTCTCACAGGGGTCGCGGTACTGGCCCAGTATCTGTCCAGCAGTACACGCCAGCCTCGACTAGACTAAAGGTAAGCCGCACGACCTTTTACCAGCTGTTGGCAAAAGCGCGCGAGTAGCTTTACCGAGACCAGGGAAAACTGCAGCATAGTACAAAACGGTATGAAAGTGTTAACATTCCGTATTGAAGAGAAATTGCATGAGTTTTAAAACAAGGGTTTAGATTACTGTTGCCTCCAGAGTCTGTCGTCTGATTTAGTCATTTAAGAAATAATTACATCACTAATGTAAACAATATAAACATACCAAAAACTAAGTATGATTTAAATACATTTGGATGGTACAAAAGAAAAACCTGAAGGTGTCTGTACAGTTTTTACAACGTGGGAATTGCCAATGTATTTACAACATGAAAGGGCAAATACCATTTTTGTGCAGAGTAAAATTATCTGAAATAACGTCAATATAAAAAACAATATCTAGCGGTGTGAGGCACTCCTAAACATGGTGGTATTAACCATGCTTTCCTTTGGTACAAGTCCCATCGCTTGGAGAGCCGCAGTTGCTGCTGTGGCTTTAGCATGCTTCTTATTAAGGCTGGCAAAAGTAGGCCTATATTCATTCCCATTGACTCTCACCTGTTTATGAAAGAGGGGGAGGAAAAAAGAAAGCATTAGAAAGTGCCTCTTCACTTCTGTTTCGAGGCAACGCTACAGGGCTCCTTTAAGCATGTGCTCTATGTAAGTCCTCTTTAGGGGTAGACAAAATCCACACCTGGCCCGTAAGCACCATCGCTGCCAAACAGTAACTGCTAACACAAGGTATTACATGGAAGAGAAAGCCCACGTTGTAAGGTAACTGAAGAACAAAAATAATCGAATCTTGCTCACTACCTTTACAACAGTAAGGCTCAACACCACACCTGCAAGTAAACAGCAAGACTCTGACACCACATAGGTGGTCAATTTTAGTAAGAAGTGGAGTAGTGTCTTTCCTGACAGATTTACAGATTAATGTGCTTGAGAGACTCGATTTGGCCTTTACAGAAACAGGACTCTGAAATTCTAGCATCAAGACGCTGCTTAGCAGTCCTCAGCTACCACTGGAATATACAAATATGAACATGAATTCCAATCACACCTTTTAATAGAGAAACCAAGAGCAAACAACGAAGCTTAAACGCACCTTGAAGATAAAATGTTTGCGATGATCAGGCCCACTATCATCCACCAACACAAATTCAGGTGGTGACCATCTTCTTTTGTTACAGATCTCCATCAATGCAGAAACTGGATGTTTACCTTAAAGAGAAAATGTATTTGGAATTTCAATGCTGCTATCAAAGCAACCATTTTAAGTGAGATTATTTTTTTTTTTAGACAAGTAAGAATCTCACCTGAAAGATCCTTCATCACAACATAATGTCCAGATCTCTTTTGTGCCTTCTCTCCCACAGCAACAAGCCCTAAACAAAACACAATAAAGTTTACATTTATGATTCCCACCTGATTTCTGATTCTCATCACTAAAGCAGTAACATGTATCAGTGGCAATGAAACCTGGAAGCACCATACAACTGTCTGTTCAAGAAGTCTTTCACACCTCCCTTTCATCCAGTGTTTTTCCTCCCTCCATACTACACAGAACATTCTTCTCAACTGCTCCAGTAAGACACTGAACAAGCCAGGTAGGAGAAACCTTTAAGTAGTCTCATGCAAGTCAGGAAACACCTGGTTTCCGTGCCCTCTTTGGAGAAACACTGAACAAGACAGGAACTTAAAAACATCATCTCATTCAGTATTTGTTTTGTGCAATCCAAAAGTCATCCACTATCTTAACAGTTTGCCTCTAACACACAAAGCATCTGAAGTATTTCCATTAAACACTAAAGAGAGGTGTGCCTAGAACGACCTTTTATGGTACAAATAACACGGTGGTGTCCTTATCACACGTGCTCTCTTTTATTTAAGAGTATTCAAATATTTATAATACCACAAATATATGCGCAAGTTCACAGCCCAATTCATTTGCATTTGAACATAAAGCAGCAGAAAAGCACGCAACTGGGCCCAAGTCAATACAAAGAGCACAAGTTCCACTGGCAGTCACTGCGAAACACAGAAGCTGAACATTTTTAATTTTAAAATCTCACAAGAGTAAGAAATAAAATGTACTAATTGCCAAAAATGTATCAAATGCCAGTAACCATGCCATGCTTATGAACTGACTAAAGTTTCTTTCCATTCCTTTTGCCATTACCTTAAATACAGGTGAACAAAATACATGACTGGTTTTTCAGAATTTCTTGACTTCAATCGGACTTTGTTTCTTACCTCTATTTGTTTCTGTTCCTGGCTTTGGTGAATAAAGACAGGGAGATACTGCAATTGTTTCCAGTTTCTTCCCGTTCCTTCAGCTTTTTGTTGGTTGGCTGTTTGTTTCATTTTGCTTTAAAGAAAATCCTCCCCTCCTTACCAGATTTTCATCCTAATATTCACGCAGCTCCTAAGCAGGGACTTTTCAAGTGGCACAAAACCCTCATAGACAACAATCATTGAAATAAAGTTTCTTTTTTTTTTTTTCCTTAGGGAATTTTATATCCAAAATAACCAAAGATTTCCACCAAAGAAAAAAAACCCACAAAACTCTTAGGTCATTCTCCACATTAATACTGTGTCTTCCTGACTCAGTCACTAACACTTTTCTACCACATCTTGTCCCTGGTACCTCAAGAGGGATTTTCTAAAAAGCTGCAACAGACTCCGAGACAAGCTCTGCGGATGGATCAAGCTTCTCTGAATACAACCAACCAACAATTTACTGGCTGAGAGCAACGTTCAAGAAGGGTTTGGTTCAGCGCTGTCTGTGAGAAAACTACAGATCTCGCCCAGTGTCTGGAAAAACCAGGGTCTAAAGGAAAGTTATGGCAAAGGCAGGCAACCTTTTGGTTCATGCCTTGGGTACTGAGTAAATCCTTAGCAAACTGCTTGTTCCTGTATCTAGAAATAGTATTTTATTTGGGGGATAAGTTCTAAAACATGTTAAAACACCCCACAAAACAGAAATGGGTTGGTTACTTAATAACAGACACCTTTTAAAAAATTCTGACTTTTCTTTAAACCTCTACATAGAGCTATAAAAAAAATTTGACTTTTTATACATTTAAGCATCAAATAACACTAAAGTTTGAAGAAGCTTTTCAGCTACTCCACCTAAATGTTTCATCCGATTTAGTTGCTTCTTTGTAACGCATGCATCACGCTGCCTCTTCATACTGCAAGTTGTCTCCCTAGATTATAGACTGGATTGGTTCAACATTAAAAGATTCTTCTTTATCAATACAGAACACCTTTAGATTTTGTGTGGAAATTCTCAGATAAGATTGCATATATGATAATAAAATGGTTTAAAACTATGGAATTAAAGCCAAGCCCAGCCATCACTAAGGTTATCAGTATTATCAGATCAATCTATCACATGCCAGGAAGACGCATCCTTTAACTTCATCTAACATTTTTAATGTTACTGAAGATGGAGCGTTCTGAAGGGGAGAGAGGAAACTGTTACAGAATGCCCAGCACAATGAGGACCCGATCCTCGCTCAGACCTCAGGGCTCAACCCTTCAAACTTCAGTATCAAATTATGCAAGTGTTAAGGAATTTGTATCAGAAGCCACATGAGGATTCTGGGGCACACTTCTGGAACTGGAAACTTGAGCGGTGACACAGCTGCGTATCACCAAGAGGTTTTTAACTGTTCAAAAGGTTCACAGGTTGTGCAGCAATACTGCCTCTTTCCTATGACACGACAAGGAGCAAGCAACAAAATCCATGACTATGTTATGCAGGCTGCTTGAGAAAATAATACTGAAATGGACTGTTTTCAATTTCTTCCCTCCGACAAATACAAATCAAGCTAAATTGAAGCAACTCTTACCAGCAGTGAGAACTTTAGGAGACAACATCTACAAAGATCACAGTAACTAAGTAACAGCAACAAAATACTTTTCAAAGATTTTCTTGGCAATCACTGTCACCAGGTTTGGTTTGGTTTGGTTTGGGGTTTTTTTGGGGTTGGTTTTTTTTTTTCCCCCCAGGTTTTTTTAAACAGGAAGGTTGCACAGAAGAAAAACAGCTGAAAAGCAAGTTTTGTCATTATTCATATAAAACAAAGATGTCTATTATTGTGTTCTGTACTTTGAGATTGTTGCACTTTTCTATTTATAAAACTGTATTATGCTGCTAGAAAGTCTTTAGAATTTAGAAAGCAATGGATAGTTTTCATAACATAGGCTTACTTTTGCATTTTCTACCTCTTTGCACTTAATATTTAAATGTTTAAATTATATTTTCACCTCTAGCTTGGTCACCTGGGCAGTACTGAACTCTCTATTAAGAACTAGCGATTCTGACACCTAAAGATTCCTCCAACAGCATCTCTGCAAATAAACTTGACAACATTTGAATTTATATCCCTGGTTTTCTTCTGAGCTCAATTATGAGCACTGACAAAAGCTAACACAAAACCATAATTCAAAGTATTTTCATGCTTTAAAATTAGATGTGATTAAAAATAGATGTGATCTATTTCATATATTAAAGGTTCCTAGTTGTAAAAAAGTATTTAGGAGAACAACAAGAAGAATTTGCTTTCCTGCAGTCAGTGTTAAATTGTTTATTTTGGCAACATGCATAATAGAACAATTAAATCATAAATCTTGACTGCTGAAATTCTGCATCCTGTATTTTAAATGGCTAGAACTTGTATAGGTATTTCAGATGGAAAATTTTCAGAAATATTCAATTCTGAAAACAGAACTCTTGCTGAATATACTGGCGAGGTGGCCAATCATATAAACCATGCTGCCAGCTTAAGCAGCAGCACGCTGCCTGTAAATAAAAGGATGGTTCTTTTGAATCAAATGTGACAAGCGCAACAGTTCTGCACCTGTGGCCATGGACTATATATAGAGGAGGAGGAAAGATTGCTAAAGCAGCCTTTGGAAACACCCGGGGAAACATCCCTGTAGTTAGCAGAGGTGCCTGCAGCAGGATCAAACTAGGAGATGGAACAGCATGGAGATCAGATGGACACAGAAGGAAACAGAATCCATCTGGAAGACCTAAAAACACCAGCATGACAGTCTGCTCGTGTCAGGACTTCAGCTGAAAGGCAGCAGTAACTCGGCTCTATAGCTCTCACCTCTGTCCTTCACCCCAGTTTAAAACTGATCCAACTATTCAATCTCCAATCCCGCCCTGTTCCTGCTTCAGCCACTTTCTCTAGACCAACCACAATGGCTTCTCCACAATTCCTTTCCCTGTCTGTGCCGTCTCCACACATCCAACTGAAGCACACCCCTAACTTCAGAACCGCTGAGAAGCGCTTTTTAAAATGGAAGGCAAAGGTTAGGGAAAGTTAAAGAACATCTGGAAGAGTTCACAGGCATAAGGACAAAGCCTATATACATAATCCAGAGCCTGAAAAACTAGTACTAAAATCATCTATGTCATTCTGTTAATTTTACAGTGAAGCTGTACCCACAAAAAGCTTACTGTTTTGAACGTCCTTTGCCTATCTCCAAAACAGACGTGAGACGTTTACACTGTCACAAGACATTTAAGGAAGGGCTTACCTTTTCGATCTGTCTTAAAATCGACCATAATAGGCTCAACGCTGCCTTCTTTGTTTTTTCCAAGCCCTTCTCCTTCTCTCCAGCCCATTTTTCTCATCAGTTGAGCTCCCATTCCTCCAGTTACAGGGGCTGCTCTTAAGAACTGATCCTATCCAGAAAAAGAAAAGTAAAACAATTCCTAAAGTTAGCACTGGGATTTTAAAATATAAGTGGGAGCTTCCAAAAAATGTTTCTAACAACCTTTCACAGACTCAATTCAAAAAAAATACACCTTAGCTTTATAAACATTAACATTTTGTATAAACCAGAATTCACGCAGACACACGAGACACAAATCAATATTTTCAAAAATGAACAACTTAAGAGAATTCTAATGCGATCCTGAAGTGGCAAGTGACCCATTTCAGACATATGTATTTAATAAAATGATAACCGTCCATCTTTAAACACGCTACTTTGGTTCCAATGCATCTCTTCTCATCTTGTGAAAGGAGGCAGTGTTAACTGTTTAACTGGCAACATGTGTGCCAAGTGTACCTAGTTGTTGAACAAAATACAAGCACATTTAGTAATGACATTCACATAGTGTTTAGGCGTATTTTAAATATAAAAAAAGTTTCACCGTTTTATTATACAGCAGTTGCACATTCAAGTTCTACTCTGAAAATCCACATGAGACAAACAGGTTTTTGGTTTTTTTTTTAAAAGGAAAAAAGGCGCTTAGCCACACAGTTTAGCAGCAGTAGTCTTCACATTCTTTCAAATCATTAACATAATAGCTGTTAAATGGTGAAAGCTTATAAACAGAAATTTTAAAAATCTGTTTTGATGTAAAGAACTTTAAAAACTCCTTAAATGTTTACGTACCTAGGCCTCGATGGCCGCAGTGTTGTGAATAGTAGGGCTGGCATTGACCGTGGCAAGAAGGCAGCTACAAGGATTTGACCCTGAAACAAGTTTCCATATAGAGGGGTGAAAGTTCACAGGTTATTCTGTGAACTATCATCTCTCTTCTGCCCCCCCCGCTGACCCAAGTAAGTAAGTCAATCATTTCCATCACAGCAAAAAATTGCTTGCCTTAAATATACAAGTTTACACACTGGCACTGATAAGTCCATCAGTTATTTCGCACAGTAGGTTAGATGATACAATGCCTAGTATTTTTGTGAAAATTTTACTTACTATCAGAGTAAATTAATAGAACACTTTTTTTTTTTTTTCCTCCTTTATTCTGAGTTGTGCTTGCAAAAGTAAGCGTTTCCCAGATGTGGATAAAGGACTGACAGTCCTTGTTTTCGATTTGTATGTAAACAAAACCAGAAGTCTTACTTTTGCAGTCTAAGGATAATATATTTTTAAGGGGATTTCAAATTGGCAACTGACACGCACTAATGATGCATGTGTGTAATCCCCACTACACATGGTGTTAAAAATTTAAAAAAAAAAATAAATTTCTGAAGATTGTGGCAGGACTTCTCCAAATATTTACCTATTAAACAGTAAATACCTATCAGTCATGCAACTGGATGCTGCATTTAATAACAAAGTGGTCTGATGGAAAAGTAAAGAGGCTAAGTGCACCTTTTCACTTCACCTTTTTTCTGACTGGTGCAGACCATGCAGTGTGTGTATGTACAAAGAGACAATCAGTTTGTTCAATATGAACTGCCTCAATCTATACACCTAGAATGGCTTTTACTTACTTCCATTTTCATCCTCCCCTCTTTTCCAGGAACCTCTCATAAGAAAAGGGCAACCATGCCGAGAATGATACAAACCCCAGTCAATGTCACCCTGGGGTCCGATTCCTCTTTTGTACCTGCTTTGCAATGATAGAATTTTCAATATAAACATCCGTTTCATTATCACCAGCGTGTATTCAGTTCACAAATAACAGAGTGCAATTTCTTGATGAGGTCATTTTAATGTTACACAGCTTTCTCATCACACCTGTACATGTAGTAATTTGGGGGTTGGGAGCGGTGTAGAAAGAACAGAATCAAAATATTGCTATTTGTAGTTAAAAATCAAAGCCCCGAGTTCCTATATAGGAATTACCAGAGCATGAACAAATTCCACATACTGGAAATAAAAAGAGTTCTGAATTCCAAAGTGCAGTTTATTAAAAACACCCCTTCTAATGTGTGAATTCAGAATCCTGGTAACTTTAGTAGGAATTTTTTTACACTAGGCTGACTCTTAAACAGGTACAACAGAACCAAGACAACAAGGGATTAGAAATGAAAGTTTTGTTTCATTACAGAACAGCTGTACTTGTACATCACACTAAAAGGCTAAATGAAGTAATTCTGGTACTAATATGAAAGGAGCCAGGAGAAGCCTACTTTGATTCAGTTTACTGAAGAAACAAAGAAGGCCTGCAGCAAGGGGAAGAGGTCTTCTTTCAGTTTTGGTTTTCACTTTTTTTGAGGTTTTTTGTAATAAAAAAATGAATATAAATCTCCTGACACCTGTACAATTATATTCTCTTTATCTATTTTTTGTAAATTAATGACAGACCACTCAGCCCATGATTAATAGAGCATGGGTAAAAACTAGTGCTGCGTTCGTTATTACATTTGAAAATGTAAAATAATAAAACATTAAGAAAAGTAGGGAAACAAGATATACATTTCTTTTCAGTTTTGAAAGATCATAAAAGGTTGAGTCTCACAAACCTATTTAGCAGCTCTGTACCCTTGCAGATCTGTCCCATAAGGAGTACATCAAATTGAAAAGTAGGTAATACAATAAATCCCCAAGTTTCTAAGTATTTGGTTACTGTTGTTGGAATTATGTAATTATTTAGAAAATAATTGTTCTCTTTCATTCACTAATCTCCATTTGAGTAAGTCTGCATGAAAATTTAATATAATTTTTTCTCATATTTTGAGTGCTAAATTCCATGAAAGGCCAGCCAAATAAAGCACACTTCCATTCTGCCAGTAGATGGAGACAACCAATAAGCCATGTTCTTGTGTCAACACTTTTTCTTGAAGAGAAAACTACATAGTAAAACCTGATCACTTAAGAGGTTTTTTATTTAGTACTTTTAATTAAAACTATTCCTCTTTTAAAGCTACGTTATGGCAACAAATTTGAGGGGACGTGACTGCCTGAATTAGCGTTTAAGGGCTTAAACAAGCAAACACCAAAAAAAAAAAATAATCACAGCTGAAAGATGATTTTAGAGGGTTTTTTCCTAAAACACAAGTTGGACAGTCACAGCCGTTTAACTGCAACAGCTCTTTGTGAAACGCACAGCATACAGCACTGAACTCAACAATCTATAAAATAGCACCACAACATCCAAAATATTAATGCCATAATTATTTGAGACATCTCAAAATATATCATCAATTTTTGCTCTCTGAAAAGAAAATACCCATTCCTTCTCACAATGCTGACATAGGACTAAAACGTAAGTTCTGTCAGAAGGAAGGTTTATTTCTTTTGAGCACTAATTTATTAAGCAAAAGACATCAAAGCCTTAAAGGCACCAGGCAGCCAGTTTCAGCTGTAGCACAATGAATTATCTTAAGAGATTACTTTAAGGCTAATTCCAAAGAATTTCTCTAAGTCAAGTACCAGGAACAAGCATCTATCTTTAGCAAAACTTTCGTAAAGTAGCTGCATTTTCCATTAAATAAACTGTCACTTTCAGCAACAGCCACATTCCTTCCCCAAACAAGAGGAGGAATACTTTTCTGAAGAATGCCATCAAATCCCTTATGAAACCTATACTCACAATCAGCTTCAGGATTTCTGTTGACAGCTTTTCAATACATTCAATAGAAAGCAAGCTGAGGATAGCTGGGGAAAAAACCCAACATTATGAGGACTGAATAGGGAGCCGGTCCTATATAACTAACACATATTTGATTTGCCTTGCCATGCGGCCTTCCTTTCCAAGGAAAGCTCATTGAGTCATATAAGGCAACAGGAATACAAGTATTCTGATAAGTGGCCTTGTCAGAAGGTCAAGTGCAAGCAACAATCACACGACTTAGTTTTACCTCCATCGTTAGCGTGAGTTTTACTCATCTGCTATGACTGTGGAAGAATGGAAGGAACACTTAAACTTTTCAGAACTTGCTACACAAAGCAGAGCGTTCTAACGGCCATAGTAAAACTGTGTGTCACACCTTAGCACAACTGAATGAAACAAGCATTACCCTATGTGTGTAAAACACTGCAGAAACCTTGTTTTGGAGAGCAAGTTTAGGTTTCTAGAATTAAGCTGATAAATCCAAAAACAAGTGGTAAGTCTGGGAAAGTCTGAGTAAGTAGACCTCGACAGAATTTGCTTGGACAAAAATATCTGACCACTTCCTCTGATTTGACATTTATTCAGCAGTATAGCTTATTTGTAAGAAAACGAGAACAAAAAAAAAAGCAACCTCCAGAACAAGTCATATTTGTGAACTGATTACACCAATGATGATGAACTGAAACAGAAACCACTTTTCAAAAGAAAAAGATAATATTGTTCATAAATCTGTTTTAATGATACAAGAAACCTAACGACATATTATTCCTTTATGAATACTGCTCAGAACCCTATGCATGAATATCATGAATTAGCACATCACTTAGATAAATAAACCATCCTTCTAATTGGTCTGTTGATCATTCAAGTATGCCACGTTAACCACTTCAGTAACTAATACCCTAAAAACTCTGATAAAACTGAAAATGCAAGCATATTTTGGTTTGAGTACATATTACCTCTCCAGAGTAATTTTTAAAGTACAAACAAAGCTGAAATCCAAGAAATGCAAAGCGAAGACAGCACTTATCAAACAAGTTCCCCGAGTACTTTAATTTTTCTCCCCTCCTGACACCATTCTTCTGTTTTGTTACATCTATCTAGTTTTGTGATTATCTCTGACAAGCATGATGCCTGTACGTGTTCTAATTCTTTGTCTAATGAAACACAAATAACTAGCTAACCTGGACTCTGTTTCTGCTAAACAGTGCACATCCACAAGTCCACTCATGGCAATTGCTTATGGCAATCTCCCAAGCAAAATGCCTTCAGTAAACACCTTCAGTCAGAAACACGCATTAAGTTACACACACAACATACCCCAAGAAACTCCACAGCCCTACTAGCAGATGAAAAATCAAAAATACTAGGGCTTTCTTTTTTTAAATGTTAAAATACTTTTTCTTAGGACAAAGAAGGCAGTACAAGTCTGATTTCTCAGTGCTACATTGCATAATTAACAGGAACTAAGTTATACGACTTCAAGTGCCTAAGTAAAATACAACTTTGCATTTCATGGTTGGTTTGCATTCATGTTACTGAGAAAGATAACATGCATTCATAACCCGTTATCCCTACTTCACTTTTTTCTGTGAAATCATTCTCTAACCACAGGACGTGACTCCACATTAAGTTCATCAAAACTAAGTTTTGTGAAGGCTTTCACAGGCCCCACCATTCCTAAAAAAAAAAAAAAAAAACCCAACAAAAACCCGAAAAACCCAGGGTGAGTCTTGTGTAGTCCCTAGTGCATTTTGCAGAGGGCGCATGACTATAACTACTTGTCATCTCCTGAGTTTGATGGCAATGTGCGTGCAAATATGGAACCTGGAAAGAGCAAAAGAAGTCAAGCTGAGGAATGTCAGAGCAGGGAAGAGGACTGTGTCCTCATCTTCTTCACCCAACAGCTCTTCTTGTTTCCAGTAGCAGCCTCCTTTCTGACAAACCACATGATGCTTGCTAGGGAGGATGCCTACTACTGCAAACCACTACATTTTTACAGCTATGGGAAAGACAGAAATGCTTCTGCTGGCTCACTCTTATTTCAAGATTCAACAAAATGTTCCAATATGCTTTTGCTGCTCACAACAGTCATGTCCACAAGCAGAGACCAGACTCTTCTCTCACTGTCTCCCTATAAAGCATTTTGTTGGGTTTTTTTGTTGGGTTTTTTTTTTAAAGCAGATCACAGAGCAAAGTTATAAGACCGAGGGAAAACACACTTGCCTTCTCCCCTTAATTTTTATTAGTGGACACTCCTGTTGCTGTAAGGCACAGAAGACCACCACAGAACCTCAAGGAATGAAAATGGGATGGGAAGAGGAGGCTTGGGAAAGAAATGAATCAGAGATGCTCCCTTTCCGTTGCCTTGGGAACCCACTCAAGATACTGCAGAAAGGGAGATCCCTCCTAGGCTTGCTGATCTCTTTCACAAGCCTCATGGTGGAACAGCTCTCCTTTTCTCACCAACACATCCCTGCTGAGTGCTTTGTATTTCTAAGCTCCTCTGCCAGGGACAATTACTGTAATCATCAAAGCCAACATTTTGTTACAATCTCAGAAGTTAGTAATTGTTAAAATAAGACTTTATCATGTATGCTCTGTATTAATCTGACAAGAGCCGAAAAGACTCCCATCGAGCAAGTAACTTGGATCTCTGTTTGCCTGGCTCTCTGTATTGCTTGGCTATATAAAGTGGAAAAACAAGTTAGTGAATCTTGGCAAAGATGTTTCTATTTTTAGGATGTTATAATTCTAGACTTTTTGTGTTCAGTTTACACCAAGTTTTAAGGAAAATTCTACCTAAGTCTCAACTCTAACCTACCAGTTTTGAGGGTTGTCTTAAAACTGCATTCTGGAAGGATAAGCAGATACAGCATATACTCAACTACGTTACTTGCAAGATTGACCGCCATAAAACTCATTATTCTTTTTGCCTGAAAGGTGGACATTGCTTGAATTCCTCAGTTCTACTTCTTGAAAGAGAACCAGTTCAGCATTCATTTTCAAAGATGAAGCATGAATTGTTAAACCTCTAAAACGCAGCTATGTATGACGCACCGCATCCCAAAAATAAGCCAATATTACTCTGTAGTAAGAAGTAACTATTTCACTGTAGGATGATATTATTAAACTTATTAACCCAACTGCAACTCCTGGTTTAGTACTCCAGATCTTTGGCTCCCAGAAAACCCTGGTGATACAAATAGAGGCAAAGTAGCAATCAGATAGAACCAAGGCAAACAAAATGGCAGTTTGGGACTTGGTTCACTGAAGTTGAAGCCAAAACATCACTGACTTCAGTAACATCAGGATCAAACCTTGCCTGATCTGTCCCAATCCCATAAAAGTAGTGATGGACCTACCACTGCAACCATACCATTATCATGAATGTCATTTCAGTATAAGGTAACAGTATATATGAACCAATCTGACTCAAATATGAGACGCACATCTTATTGAAGTACTCTATGTCATGAGCAACACTTCAATGCACAACAAAACGGACACAGCAGCAGCAAGTAAATCATTGGTTTTGATCAATTTAGATAACGTGTTATACTTCACACATGCATTACCATAGGTTCTTAAGGCAGAATTTTTGCATTTTCCGATACTTCCACTGTTATTTAAAACGTGATAGTTAGACAAGTATGTCTGCATAACTTCTACCTTTCTAATCCATGCTTGGGGACCACTGTTGGTCAGCTCATCTGAGGACAATATCTGTGCTCCAGTACTTCCTGTGAACTGGCCAGGTATGGAGTTTGACTGAGCCCAGGCGTCAATCTACAAAATAAAAATAAAATATAAGACCAAAATAAAAATTTGCACATTTTTCCTTTGCAATTCTCTGTTGCTTCTCAATAATTTTCATAGTGATTCCTCATTTACGTTTAGTGCTATGTTCATTAACACTCACGTGTAAGCAGACATTCCAAAAAGCTGAGTATCTTTGTATGTTATCCCTAAAGCCTGAGCTCAAAGTCTAGCAAGTTTTCAGTTCATGGTTTGCTTATCCTCAAAATCAGTGTTATTAAATGCAAAATAAAGGCAGAATTTTTAAACACGTGCCCATAAACTGAGCTTCCAAAAAAACCTGTACTTAAATACCTAAGAAAAATCAGCTGGTATGAAGGTTAAACATTAAGTTCATTGAAATGCTGATGAAAATTTGCAACATACCTGTTCCTGTGCACGATTTAACATGCACATGGCCTCTAAATCAAATGTGTTTTCATTAAGCCTTTTCTGAGCCACTGCTCGATCATTCATAGCTGTAGTTATGTCCACACCCTAGGAAGAAAAAGATTACTTTTAAAACTGTATCAGACCACAATAATATCTATTTGATCTGGAAAAGCTGTTGTAGAATAAATGCTACAAATACTACAAAGTTGGTTTATACATTGATTAGTTGGTTTGATATATAAATAGGCAACATGAAAAAACCCTGGGACTACTTGTTAAGTATAGACAATACAGGCTTTCCTAAACAAATACAAAATCTGAAGTTGAAGTATAACACCCTGATAATTTAGTATCACCTGTACATACAAAATATCAAAAGAATTATTTTCAAAGAACTACTGTGGTCACAAAAAGTTCTGGTGTATAATACTTAAATAGAGAAGCATATTATTGTTCAATAGAATCATTAAGCAACATAAATAAATGTAATTTAGCTAAAAATCTAAAAAAACCAAAAAAAAAGTCTTCATATAGAGCTGTTCACATGAGCACCCTACTATTAATTCATACTAAAACTTCAAGTTGTACATATAAAAAAATTACACCAAGAATCAGATGTATTCCCTGAACTTGGCTGTAGTGTTTCAAATCTTAATCTTGAGCCTAAAACAGACTTGCATAGAAGTAAAACCAGACTGGTAGCTCATAAAATTAACTGTTTTGGAAAGGAGTATTTAGATCTGTGCTGCTGAACTAGAACAAAATTTAAAGAAAAATAAATTTGAAACTATCTAGCACATACTAATCAGAATAATTCAAGTAAAAATATGGAGCAAATTAAGATGCTCAATGCAAACCTCTACTCTATGAGCAAAGCAATCAAGAGAGAATTCCAAAACATTTGGGGGTAACAAAGCAGATGCAAAAAATTATGGCCAGTATACAGCTCTTTTGTAAAATTACTTGTGCCTTGTTCTTCAGATGAAGTGCATTTTATGTATCATTGCATTGTGAAAGGAGAAAAAGAATAGAGCTCAGAGACAAGTGAAATTTCTTTGGAGATGAGCATGTGAAGGAGACTGAAAGGGCTGGAACTGTTTGAAGCACAGAAGAAACCAAACAGTCAAAGAGCAGGTGGCATATAGGCAAAAAGTAGAGTTGATGGATTAATTTTTTTTGTGTGTGTGTGTGTGACAAGACTTCTATCTTTTCTTAGTCATTATCTCATAACCTTAGCCTCTCAGACATTATACTAAAGGGCCAGCAGAAGAAACTGAAGCTAATTTAAAATTGACTCTGCTGTACATAAAAAGTTAATCCACAAAATCTCTGTCACAGGAACCACGTCAAGAATTTAGTAAAAACTGAAAAACAGTAAGACAGACACAAATGTCTACAATTGCATAAAACAGAGTAATTCTTTTTTTACTCTATTAAATCTTATTTTAAGATGAGGGATTTTTTACTGTTTAGGACAAAAAGTATTTCTGTTGGAAAGATCATTGCTGAAACATCTGGCACTGACCAAGACAGACTTAAAATCCCAGGAGTCCTATGTGTCTATAAAACTGATTTCAGTGTTTATTTATTGTCTCAGCTGACAAAAACAAGATCATAAACAAGGCACAAGAATTAAAAGATTTTCTAACAAATCACCTAACATGACAGTCACGTATGCAAAAGAATGCCTGTTTAAATACACACTTTCTTGAATTAATACGTTTCCCTTACATAATCAAAATAATTCTTTTAGGTTTTGTTTGTGAAACTGGTTCAGGAGATAAATAAAAGTTATTCTACTCACCAAAAGCTTCAATCCAGCAATACACATAGGCATGCAAGTAGTCCACTGAAACCACATTGGGACCACTCACATACTTAAACATACATGTGTACTTAGTGCTTTACCGGACTGGGGCCTATTAGTAGATACCCTGGTTAGTTAGAATTCCCATACACTTTCCCCACATGGTCAGTCACCATTTTGGAGACCATCATGGCTTTGTATTATGTCAAGACACTCGATGGCAGCTTTGGATCTTGAAAAAAAAAAATCTCTGCTTGAAGTATGAAAAGTTATTATTATTTAGTCAAGTAAAACAGTTTCAAGTTCAGCATGCTATTCTCCGTAAGAGTTCTGCCTTTCCAATCCTGACTTTTAGTAACATTTTCCCCACAGACACAAATCACAAATATTGAAGCAAGAAGAGGCTGACAACAGAAAGCAGGCATTTTTGATATACTTTGTAGGTCCACTGATACACCAAATGCATTTACTACATTTTTAGATCACAACGGCTTCTCTGCATTAATAGTCACCTGTGTATACTCCAAACCTAAATAGAACACTTCAACTCTACTTTCAGACTTTCACATATAGCTTCTTTCTCATAAGTTTCTCTGGCTTCTAGAAATATGCTGATACTTCAGATTACTCAAGGCTTTTTCCTCCATCTCCTCTTACTACAAACAACTATATTAACAGCATCATCTTTTATTAAAACAATTTGTAATCTATTAGCAGGGCTATTTCAGGCTGCTTATTCCCATAACTAATTCCGTGACTTGAATAAAAACATAACAATAAAACCAATTACGTATTTTTTTTAATGTCAATATAGACTTGCATCAGAATTGTCACAATCAGATTTCAAAATTACCAACAATGAATGGAGGTAAATTATATGTCAAACTTCCTGAGGATCCAAGCACACTCCCCCACTACTCTACTTCAACAGCAAGGGAGCTTATCTGGCTTCTTTTGCTCAAAGGAAGCAATTTCATCCACAAAAAGCCCTCATAAGCATTTAAAAATTAAGCATAGAAGTACTCCGTTACCTTTCAGACTCTCTGGAGAAATATATATAGATTCTGTTACAACAAAAGTATTCCTGTATTTCAAAATTAAGGATTGCCAAACCCAAGGGGATGGTATGCTCTGCTGTCAGCTAATGACCCTTGAAATCACCCTTAACACAAACCAAGTTAAGGTAAATGCAAATAAAAATATTTATTTACAAAATATAAAAACAGACAACATTGTTACAAGCATTTATAAAGATACACGTGACAGAAAGGGAAGAAAGTTATCTTTAATATATTTACTCCAATGTCAATTTTTAAGGCCTCTTCTACATAATCAATACACAAACCATCAGTGCTTAGCTAACCCAATTTGTCAAAGACACAAGCCCAGTGTCATTGCCAACCTGGATGCAGACGTCTACAGAACTCGCCTGAACTATGAGCATATTATTAACCATTTGAATGACAAGACTTCTTACCACCTGGTAAAAACATGGCCAAATGTTAGTATACAATGTTTCTATGCTCTGGACTTTTTTACATATGCACTAGTAACTGGGAATGACATTCTGCACAAAGATTCTGAAATGTTTGCCTTATTAGTGGTTCATGACAAAGACCAAACAGCAGTTACCATCAGCACTGAAGGAACAATGAATTGGGTGCCTGATCATCAAACTTGGAGGTATATCATGAAAATGTCAGATGAATTATATTCACTGTGCTTTTGGTGCTGTATGACCCAGAAAAGAACACATTCTGTGCTTCAAGAAGTGAACTGTACAATCTTAGAAAGTTCTTGAAAAACAAAACACACCAACTGGAAATATTGTTTCATCAGAAATTGATGCCAAGGCTTTTTTGTTTATTTGCTTTGAAAGGTATGAGAACAAGTCTTCAGATGGAGTGAGGTTAACATCAACTTGAAAACATTTACATCTGTCTTAAATATTTACTTAATTACAAAAACCCCACAAAATATCCTTTTGAAGACATTTCAAGGGGAAAAACATTTGCTTTTTTTTTTAGCTTAATATACGTACAATTAGATTTTCCTTTCAAAGGCCACATGTAAGACAACTATGTAAGAAATGTGACTGTAAACCTATAAAATTAGTAGATACATCCAGATGAAATGGCAGTTTTAGAAACTACTGTCAGATCTATTTTTAATGGATTACATTTCAATGCAATGTTATTGCTCTAAGATTGATAGGACAATTTTAATTGTTATTAGATTTATAGTTATGAAAGTCTCAACTTAGGGTATTAACCTCCGCAGGAAACTGGACAAGACACTTGCTTTTCATCTTCAAGCAAAAGTTTAAATTCTATTGAGACAAAAGCACACAGTATGGGTACAGGCTGCTTTCATCACTGTCCACATGAGCACAGCTACCAAATTTGAAGAGTGCAGCAGTTCAGATAATTAGCTTATTAAAGTATTAGATACTACCTACGTAAGTGTTTTTTTTTAACAGACTGCAGTTTGATACCAGACTGACCAGGTAACGGTTTTGGTTTTGGTTTTCTTATATGATATGCTTTCCTTCCCTTCCTTACCTCAATGGATGGTTTGGGGAAAACATCATCCTTGCTTTCTTCTTTGCCTTTTTCAACTGGAACCCATTCTCCATAGACACTATCTGCTTCTTTTTTCCTATGTTGAGACCCAGATGAAACAGGAAATTCCTTTGACAGGCTGACCTGATTTTTTGGTTGTGGTGGTGGTGCTGGTTTTATACTGGGAGTCTTAAAAAAATAAAAATCAGAAGAAGTTAAAATTTGAAAAACACACAATACTCACAACATGTCTTTGAGAAACGATTTATTGTATACACTACACTATTAAGTTTTCATCAGTCGTCCTTCTTACTAACATCAAACTGAAAGCCTAACATAATTTTAGCACAGCCCTGAAATACACACAAGTGAGCAACAAACTGCAGTTTAAGAGAAGATGAAATGGCTAGAAGTTAAAATCGCTTAATCAGCTTCAGCAGCCAAAAATACACAAAACCTCACTCTCACAGTTAACCTCCCTGCTCTCCCTCCACCCAATCATAAAGGGAACAATTTTAATCTGCCACACGTGCATTTTGTAACAGAAAGCCCCCAAATAAAAATCCTGGGCAGCAAAACACATTAGCTGTGATATCCACATGATGATAAAAAGCTCTGTATTACTATACATAAAGTAGTTTTCAACATTTTGTTTTCTAGTTTTTGATTATTTTTTAATAGCAGCATGAATATTGAAGTAAATTAAGTCTATGAGGTATACATTCTAAGGAAAACAAGTTCATATATTAAGACTCCAAGAAACCTCTGACAGTTTGCTCTTCTAAGAGGCAAACAGAGCCCAGACAGCTCACAATATTGGGTACACTCCTACTATCAAAGGAACACAGATGGGAATAGTAGAATCCAGAAAGAATGGAAAGAATGATACTAAGAGGGTAAAAGTTGTGGAAAACAGGCAGAGCAGCCCATAACCACTAAAGAACATTCCTCTTTGGAGCCTGCACGAAATCCCAAAGTTTCTTGGGTTTCGTTGTACCACTAACAGCACAGCATAAAGTATAAATCTATTTCTACCTTACACCTTATGTAAATAATGTATTACTGCTTATTTTGTGTACACAAGCTATATCTATTTCTACATAAAAATATAAATGCTATTTATATTTTTCATTTAGCATATTAATACTTTTATAGTAGTTTATACCCTGAAAAATCAGAGCAGACTTTCATGGGCACAAAAAACCCACCAAAGATATAACTGTAAAAAAAAAAAGCAAACAAAAAACTTTTAGACAAATTCTAATCCATGCTTCAAAGCATATGAATCCCACGTGCCTTTAAAGATATGCTCCCTCATTCTACTCCTTCCAAAAGCTCATACACAGAAAGTGTCAACACAAGCTCTGATAAGAGTTAAAAGCAGTTCCCCCAGGAGGGGGTTTAATGGAACATTTAGACCCTCTTAGTAACAGGCAACATCAGTGATCCTCATTCTTAACGCAGCATTTACATCTCTATTGGCTAACCTTCAAAACTACCACAACTTTTTTCTCCTTTAATGAACACTTGAGATCAACTGAAGAAGCAGACATATAGCATTTAGAGTCTGCACAAAGCTGATGGCATAATCTTATTCAGAACACCTCAAAATGCTTTTAGAAATTGGGGGGTGGGGTGGGGTGGGTGGGTGTTGTTTGTCTTTTAAAGAAAAACAATGCCATTCCAAAAGTATTTCCCAATTCCAATGCTGTTTGTAAATCCATACTGCTATTTTCGCAATAAAAGCATGAAGTAAACCCAATCTTCTTTATGTTATTTAAGCCTTAAAAGCTGCAAAGACATTAAAGAAAAAAGTTTCAATCCAATTATGGAAACTACCACAATTTCACAGACTGCAGGTTAAGTTTCTTACTGTAGCAAGAGTACTTTTAACAACATCCTAGTGCTATTTCACAGGATAATCAATCCCTGTTTAATTTCTGCAAAATTACTTGCACTATTTAAAAATAACCACAATTTAAAGTATTGAAAATTAAAGAAGTACTCACACTTAAATTGAAAAAAATAGGTTTGGGTTCACTGAGCTTAAAAGGATGATTATAGAAAGGACGTTCTTCCTCCTCTTCATCAGAAACATGAGGTTTGTTCACTATCACATCATCCGTGCTTTGAGCGATTTTCTTGCATTTCTAAAATAAATTTTAAAAGCAAAGAAAAAGGTACATGACAGCTCTGAATAAACCTGGACTTTCAACCAAAACATAAAAAAAGAACATTTTTACAAAAAAGTGTTTTTGTTTTCTAAAGCAGGAAGTATAATCTGACAAAATCTTTTAGCAGTATCACCGATATATGTACTTTTGACATTTTACACACATTGTCACAGACACCTACCTAGGTTCGCCAGGCCCTCATGCAGCGAATAATTTCACCGACTTAAGATTTCAGCAGCATACTGTAAAACTTGCTACACAGTGCTAGTTGTAGAATGCGTGTCTAAGGCTGCAACCATTCCAGAGTAGGAATTCACTGGTTGTCTGGCATTCCACAGAACTAGCACATGGCAATCTCATAGAAACGTCAGTGTAACTCAGAACTACTACACAGGAAAACCTAAGAATTAACAGTTACTAACTCTAAGTTCCACTGGTAGTGCAGGGACCTAGTCAGATGCAATGGCTCCAAAAGATCTGATAGCTTCTGAAATATTTTGACATTGGTCAGGTACACAAGACATCCCCATTTCATATTCAACAGAAATTGAATATAAAACATATAGGTGCTATGGGGATACTGCATACAAATAAGAAAAGAACTTCCAGGGAAACAAAGAAAGAAAGACGACATTCTAGAGAGGCTAAAATTTAATGACGAAGAATTCTTTACTGATCATAGTTATCTGCACTGACTGTTTACCAGTAGCAACTACAACTTAGTTCAAAACGCATTTGAGATTATAGTCTAGTATCATGCTTCTATTATGTCCCCATTTATGAAAAGTATACTTACAAGACTTACAAGACATTTGAGGACATGAAATAATACCAGCAAAGTAAAGCCATCATCTGATTTTATTCTAGTTTAAGTTCATATCATTTTAAGTCACATTTGTTTGATGACCCAATTGTTGGCATATAAGGAGCAGACAGGCTCCATCACTAAAAATCAAGACACATTGATGGCACTGTTCTCATCAGTCCTAATCAGAAAAGATGCCTGCACTCTCCTGTGCAAAGACGCCTCCAAACAACGACAGAAGCACATGATTTAGGCAACAGGAGAAGCCTGCAGTATTTGGAAAGCTTATGTATTATCTATAGTTATTATCTGGCTCCCAACTAACTGGAAGCAGTTTGCCTAGTTTGCAGGTTACATGCAGAGAGGCAAGAAGCTGAACAGGCTCTGGAAGGGTTCTCCACTTGGGCACACTACCATATGAGAATGGGCTGGACCGCTTCTGTGGCCAATTCTGATTCAACTGAACAGCAACATTGTCCAACAGATTCCCAGAGTTGGAAAGGGCAAGGAAGGGGCAGGTTTTGTTCTTCCAGATTATCATGAACTACACTGGATCTTGATCAGGCTACATGAAGAACCACTTAGTGTATCTGCACAATCTCAGCTTTTTCACGAAGTACTTCTGCTTCCACTAGCCCACACACAGCTAAGAGATTACTTCTCAGCAATTAGACATTGCTTAATTTCAGATGTTATTTCCATAAATAGATTATTTCAGAACTATCACACTGATGATGCAATTTAAAAAAAAAGAAAACACAAAAACCCCACCAAACCAAACCCCAAAAACTTTTCCCCACTCTTTTCTCTAGTTTCTGGGGGAAAAAAATGTAGGGGAAAATTAGCTAATTGAACAAGGTGAGTTTACTACAGTAAAAGGACAAGTACCATTTTTTTCCCCACAATCAGAACCCATCACATTTGTAGACTAGAACTGCAACAATAATTATCTAAAAATATCTTGAGTACATATTAAAATATGTGAAGTGAGCACTAGATTTTTTAACCCAAAGATAACATTTAACAATATGAAATTCACTAACAAAAGAAAGAATGTAACTAACACCACCAAAACAAAAAACTAGAAGTGAAAGCTTTTGGTTTTTATTAACAGGACTGCAAAGAGAACTACTACTTTGTACAAAATTAGAACGGAATCAAAGCCAAAAAGAAAGCAAAAGAATCAGACTTCATGCATTTCCATGGAATTAAAAAGCCTGTTTTCACAATTTAAAAAAAAACCTGTATACGGAGTAAGGGCTCAAACTACAAGCCAGCTTACATGCGAACCAAGCACACAAAATGACAGCTTGCCTAGAAGTCACAAAAAAACCAACTTGCTTATTTTCAGGTTTGATACTGTTGTTCTCACTTACCTCAGTGAGCTCCTTTAGTGTATCTCGTGATGACTTCTGACTGGCTTTGTCGTCTTTCTTTTGCGATAACAAAGGCATCAGGCTTGGTGGTAAGGGAACACCAGACTTAGCACACATGGCAGCTGCATTAGCTTTGGCTATTTCAAGTAGCTGAGCCTTGTCTAAAAAATATTATTTTTAAGAAAAATTATTATTTTTAGAGATTGTTTTAATAATAAGCAAGCATTTCTGGCAGACTAAACAGAGTACAAAGAGAAAACACAAGATTTTACCCACACTGTGCATTTTTATGTTCTGTGAAAATAACTAAAATTGTACTTAGTTGCTCTGGACTTTTTAAAATTTGGTCTACCCAACAAACAAGTGAAATTGCAAATTTAACACAAAGCACACAAGTCCAAATTACAGCACTCAAAATCCTCCAAAGCCCAGAAGTTCTGATCATCGATTAAATCATTCTAGTTTTGGAAATACCGGGTCATTTCTACACAGCATAAATTCCAAAGTCTACTTTCTAGCTATCTCTGAAAAGCATTCAAAGGTCTTGAGGAAGTCCCCTCAAGTCCCCCAGTACATAGCCTGAAAGCTACTTACAACCAATCAACAGAAAATATAAGCACTGAATAAAAGGTGCACTTGTATAAAATACCTGTTTTATTAACAGTTTTGTGTGTAATTGTATTTCTTTACTAAGGAAAAAAAGCACGTGACCCTATCACTGAAATCACATAAAAAAAAAAAAAGTATGTCTGTCTTAGTTTGCAAATAAATGAGTTACTACTACCTCTGCAAGCGTACAGCTTTACAAAAATCCTAAAAGGACAACATGCCTTTGCTTCTTGAGCATTAGAAGTATATGGATACATACTCGCTGCATAATGAAAGCATGAAGGCAGATCCAAGGACGCTCATTAATTCTCAGGTTCTGTACAAAAATGCTTCTCTGGTAGAGAGGCTTCTGTGGTAACTTCATAAGACGGGACTAAAAGGATCAGAACCTGAGCTCCACAAAAGACGGCTTTTTCACACACTGTACAAGAGCTCATCTCTCAAAATTAAAGCCTTCTTTCTCCTTACGTAACTTACTACCTTAAGGCCTCTCTTCCTCCAGTCACAGAAAAAAGATACAGTTCATTAGGAATTTTTCTCTTATTTTCCAATCAGCTGGATCTGGAAACATTTTCAGAAACAAGTCTGCCTTGCCATTAAATTCTTACCATGGGAAAGAGGCAAGACAGTAATGGAAACAGATAAAAAAGCAGTACAGCTGATGACTGAGCCAAGAACTCTCCAACTGACACTTGCTTTCAAATGTTCTTTCATGCCCAATTTGTTCTCAGGAGAACTAGAAATTCCTAAGTTTCTTATAGAGGACTTGGCCTTTACTAACCAGTAGAATAACCAGTGCTCCTCAGGACTGCAACATACCACCTTTGTATAAAAGCTCTATAACCAAGATATAACCTGCTCTAAATACACCTTCATCCAAATGGTAAACATTGATTCAGCTCCAACATAAAAGTTCCTACTAGAAGCCACTGCCTGAAAGTAACGCACAAAACTACTTCCAAGAAATTCCTTATGAATGCTACAGAGATACGTTAGACTATGTAAATGAACACATTATCACAGAATAATTATCATGGAACTACTGAAAATAAAATTACCACTTACCCAAGTCTGTAAGACGTTTAGGTGACCTGCTTGAAAATCGTTCCGATGACCTCGACCTACGACGATCGGGCGATCTGCTGTATCTTCTTCTCCCTGAAGATCTTGATCGCCGTAGTCGAATTGGCGACCTACTAGAGCTCCGTCTTCTTCCTCTTGACCTTGATCGCCTTTGACGAATAGGTGTTCGACTCCTGCTGCGTAATCTGAGGGAAATTCTATGATCTCTTGAATCTGATCTTCTTCTTCTTCTATCAGTAGATCTTGATCTATTTCTCTGAGATCTCTTACGCCTGTCTCTTGATAAAGAACGCCGTCTTCTTGATGCTGACCTTGACCTACTCCTCCTTCTGTGCCTTGAACGTGACAATGAGCTAGACCGAGAACGACGGTTAGATTTTGATCTTGATGCTCTTCTCCGCGTTACTGATCTGGAGCGATTACGTCTAGAGCGAGATTCTGTATCATATCTCTGGGATCTATGCTGAGAAGACCTGGAGCGTCTGCTTCTAGACCTCCGCGAAGATTCTTTCTCTGCTGTTTTTTCAACAGATTTGGATCGACTCCTCTGGCGAGCAGTGGACCTGGAGCGTCTACGTCTAGACCTGCGGGAAGACTCTTTGTCTACTGCTTTTTCAACAGACGTTGATCGACTCCTTTGGCGAGCAGTGGACCTGGAGCGTCTACGTCTAGACCTCCGTGAAGATTCTTTGTCTGCTGTTTTTTCAACAGATGTGGACCGACTCTTCTGGTGAGCAGTGGACCTGGAGCGTCTACGCCTAGATCTCCGTGAAGACTCTTTGTCTGCTGCTTTTTCAACAGATGTGGATCGACTCTTTTGGAGAGTAGGAGATTTTGAGCGTCTGCTTATAGATCTTCGTGAAGACTCTTTGTCAGATATTTTATCAACAGATTTGGATCTAGATTTTTCACGTTCAGAAGACTCAGAACGCCTACTTTCAGGTATAAAGGAAGAGTCCTGTTCCTCCAATCTCTCAAGATGCACAGAATCCTGTTTATCTTCATCTGCCAAAGAGGGCTCCACATCCTCACCCTCTTCACCAGTGGTAGACCTTGACTCATGCTCATCTGATGACGTGGAGTCTCTTCGTTCAGCTGTCAAGGACGGCTCCACATCATCTACTTCTTCACCAGTGGTAGACCTCGATTCACGCCCATCAGGGGATGTGGAACGTCTGCATTCAGTTGTCAAAGAGGGTTCCATATCCTCACCCTCTTCACCGGTGGTAGATCTCGACTCATGCTCATCTGATGATGTGGAATCTCTTCGTTCAGCTGTCAAGGAGGGTTCCATATCCTCCACATCTTCACCAGTGGTAGACCTTGACTCATGTTCATCTGAGGATGTGGAGTGCCTACGTTCAGCTGTCAAAGAGAGCTCCTGGTCCTCTGCCTCTTCACCGGTGGTTGACCTTGACTCACGTCCATCAGGAGACACGGAGCATCTATGTTCAGCTGTCAAAGAAGGTTCCAAATCCTCTACTTCTTCACCAGTTGTAGACCTTGACTCATGGTCATCAGAGGACGTGGAGTGTCTACGTTCAGCTGTCAAAGAGGGCTCGCCATCTTCTATATCTTCACCAGCAGTAGACCTCGACTCATGCTCATCAGAGGATGTGGAGTCTCTTCGTTCAGCTGTCAAGGAAGGTTCAGCATCCTCTATGTCTTCCCCAGTGGTAGACCTTGACTCATGCTCATCAGAAGACACGGAACACCTACGTTCCGTTGTCAAAGGCTGCTCCAGATACTCTCCTTCTTCACCAATGCTAGATCTTGACTCCTGCTCATCAGGGGACATGGAGCGCCTATGTTCAGATGTCAAAGAGGGCTCCAGATCATCTATTTCTTCATCTATGGTAGATTTCTGGTCATGGCCCTCAGGGGACACAGATCGTCTATGTTCAGAAGTCAAAGAAGATTCTAGACCCTCTTCATCCATGGGAGATTTCAGCTCACAACCTTCCTGATATGAGGATGTAGAATGTCTACGTTCAGGTATCAAAGAGGGGTCTAGATCCCCTGTTTCTTCACCAGGGCCAGATTTCACACTGTAGCCATCAGGAGACATGGAACACCCACTTTCATGCGCTGAAGAAGGCACTGCATCATCTATTTTTTCAACAGGGATGGATTTCAAGTCACTGTCATCAGGGGACATGGAAGCTCTATCATTTAGCGTCAAAGGTTCGAGACCACCTGCTTTTCCAACAGTGGGGAATCTCAACTCCTGGCCATCAAGGGATGCTGCATGTTCATTTTCAGGTGTTGGAGAAAGCTCCCGAACACCGGCTTTTTGAAGAGCAGTGAATCTTACCTCCTGGCTCTCAAAAGACAAAAGATGGTCATTTTCAGATGTCAAAGAAGAATCCATATCCTCTGTTTTCTCAGCATAAGTCAGTCTTGATTCATACTCTTCAGGGGACAGAGCACGCTCATTTTCAGATGTAACAGAAGGTAGCAGGACTAGACTGCAGCTCCTGACCTTCAGGGGAGAGGGTACATTCACCTTCAGACAAAGACAACTCCTGCACCTCTGTTTTTCCAACAACAGTAGACTGCAACTCTTGGCTATCAGTGGACACTGAACTTTCACTTTCAGATGTTTCAGAAGGTTCTTCCATTTCTTCTTTTTCAACAGGACTGGATCTCAAATCATGGCCTTCAGGGGACACCTCATACTCATTTTCAGACAGCAAAGAACACTCCTGCACCTCTGTTTTTTCAGTAAGAACAGAGCGCAACCCTTGCCTTTCAGGAGATGCAGCATATTGATTCTCTGCTATTAGTGAAGGCTTCTGTACCACTGTTTTTTCAGCAAGAGTAGACTGTAATCCTTGGCCTTCAGGGAAGATGGTATATTCACTGTCAGATATCAGAGAAGGCTCCTGCACCTCTTTTTCAGCAGGGCTGGCTGTCATCTCCCGATCCTCAGGAGATGCAGCATATTCATTTTCAGACAGTAGAGAACACTCCTGTACGTCTGTTTTTTCAGCAAAGGAAGACGGCAATTCATGACATTCAGAAGACACAGCATATTCATTGTCAGGTACTACAGAAGCCTCCCGCATCTCTATCTTTTCAGGAGAGCTAGATCTCAACTCCCGGCCCTCCCAAGATATAGCATATTCATTTTCAGACATCAGAGCAGGTTCTTGCACTTCTATCTTTTCAACAGGGGGCGACCCCAACTCCTGGCTCTCAATGGACACTGAACATCTCTCCTGAGACATCTGATAAAGTACCTGCATCTCTGTTTTTTCAGCAGGGGTTGATGTCAACTCCGGGCCATCAAGTCCTATTGTGTATTCATTTTCAGACATTTGAGAAGGTTCCTCTACCTCAACTTTTTCAAAAGGGGTGGATGCCAAGTCACGACTATCAGAGGAAACAGAACATCTGCTTTCGAGTACCAGAGGTGGCTCCTGCACCTGTATTTCTTCATCGTAGGCAGATCTCAGCTTGTGGCCATCTGGGGATACAACGCATTTCAGTTCGGAGGACAAAGATGACTTTCGCATCTCTACTTTTTCAGCAGGGATAGGTCTCAATTCGTGACTATCGGGCAACAGGAAAAGCCCACCTTCAGATGTCAGAGAAGTCACTGAGGCCTGTAGTTTTTCAGTAGGTGTGCTTACTGACTCACAAACATCAGTAGACTTGGAGAACTCACTTTCCAGTTGGAGAACAGGCTTCTGTATCTCTGTTTTTTCAGCTGCAGTGGATGTCAACTCATAGCCTTCAGCAAAGACAAAACACCTAAGCTTAGATGCCAATGACAGTTCTGCACCTTCTATTTTCTCAATGTAATTGTGTTTTGCTTTATGAACATCATGGCACACAGGAATTCCGCTTTTAGACATCAAAGATGATCCTATACACTCTATTTTTCCAGCAGGCAGGTATCTAGATTCATACATTTCAGACGATTGAGAGCAGTCGATTTCAAGTACTTGTGGAAGCGTCGGACCGTCAAAATCTTTGTCAACAGATGATCTGGACTCATGAACTTCAGAAGACTTGCAGCTTTGTCCTACAGTTGTGAGTACAACTTCATGCAGTTTTTCAAAAGATGATGCTGAACTGAGGTCACCCGAGATCTCGACAGGACCACACTCAGATGTGAGGGAAACATCTGGAACCTTTACTTTTTCAACAGATAAAGATCTTTGTTCATTTCCATCCGGTGACTTGAAGGACCCACCTTCAGACATCAAAAGAAGCTCCTCTCTTTGTGTAGCAAAGCTGGATCCTGATTCATGTCCATCAGGAGACTTGAAGCATCCATTGTCAGAAGTCAGAGAAGGCTCCTTTATCTGGCTCTTTTCAACAGGCAAGGAGGCTGACTCACAGACATCAGGGAATGCAGAGCATGTAACTTCAGGTGCTGGTAAAGATTTTTCAGCCTCTACTGTTTCAAAAGATAGTGACCTTGACTCAGGGCTGTCAGACAACTTGGAAGATTCCCTTTCAAGTCCTGCAAAACACAGTGGTTTTGCAACACGAGTATGTCTCAATTCATGACCATCAGCCAAGTCAGAAAGTACACTTTCAGACATCAAAGACCCCTGAACGTCCACTCTTCCAGAGGATGAGGAGATTGTCTTGTAATCCTCAGAAGATACAGAGCATCCGCTTTCAAGTGTCAGAAGAGGCTCTGGACCCTCTATTTCTTTGAGGGAAGTAGATCTCGACTCATCTTCATGGGACGTGGAGAGCTGAAATTCTGTTACCGAAGAATCTTCTGGATCTCCCCTTTTTTCAACAGATGAGGATCTTGACTTGGATGTGGAGTACGTAAGTTCACATAGTGATGAAGACTCCAGAGCTACTGTTTTTTCAGCTGATCCATTTTCAGATGACACAGAAAGCTCTGAAACTTGTGATTTTTCCACAGGCATGGATCTCAACTCCTGGTCATCTGAGGTTTTGGAGCTGTCAAATTCAGGAGTCACAGAAGGCTGCAGACCTGCTGTTTTTTCAACAGATGAGGAGCTTTTCTCAAGACCATCAAAAGTTTTGGAAAATCCACTTTCAGATGCTGGCGGCAGCTCTGGGCCATTTATTCCTTCAACAGACAAAGCTACTGACATGGGACCATTAGAGGATTTGGAGGAGCTGCCTTCACTTGCAAAAGAAGGTTCAGGAACATCTACTTTTTCAAGACATTTGGTTGACTCCTGAAGTTCGGAAGACTCCACACGCTTGCTACTGCACTTTACTGAGGATAACTTACTCTCTCTTTTTTCTACAGATTTGGACCTTGACTTAACACTATCAGAGGACTTGGAACGTTTCCGTTTGGATTTTTTTGATGATTCCTTACGCTTTTTTTCAACAGACCTAGACCTAGACTTGTAACGTTCAGAAGATTTTGAGCGGCGGCGCTTAGATTTTCGTGAGGACTCCTTCTTTTTTTCCACTGATTTGGATCTAGACTTGTAACGGTCAGAGGACTTTGAGCGCTGACGTTTAGACTTCCGCGATGATTGCTTTCGATCTCTTTTTTCTACTGATCTGGATCTAGACTTGTAACGGTCAGAGGACTTTGAGCGCTGCCGTTTAGATCTCCGCAGGGATGCCTTCCGACCTCTCTTCTCAACAGACCTCGACCTAGATTTCGAACGGTCAGAGGAACCAGATCCTCTATGTCTGAACCTCCATGAGTATTCTTTGCCTCCTCTCTTTTCTGAAGACCTGGATCTAGATTTAGAATGGTCAGAAGACCTGGAACGTCTGCGACGGGATCTCCAGGAGGACAACCTGCTCCCCCTCTTTTCCACTGACCGTGATTTAGACCTGTAGCGGTCAGATGACCTGGAACGTCTACGTCCAGATCTTCGGGAAGACAGTCGCTTTTCCACTGACCTGGACTTAGATCTGTAGCGGTCAGAAGACCTGGAACGTCTGCGTCCAGATCTTCGGGAAGACAGTCGCTTTTCCACTGACCGTGACTTAGATCTGTAGTGGTCAGAAGATCTGGAACGTCGGCGCCCAGATCTTCGAGAGGACAGTCGCTTTTCCACTGACCTGGACTTAGACCTGTAGCGGTCGGATGACCTGGAACGTCTACGTCCAGATCTTCGGGAAGACAGTCGTTTTTCCACTGACCTGGATTTAGATCTATAGCGGTCAGAAGACCTGGAACGTCTGCGTCTGGACCTTCGGGAGGACAGTCGCTTTTCCACTGATCTGGATTTAGACCTGTAGTGGTCAGAAGACCTGGAACGTCTACGTCTGGACCTCCCAGAGGACAATCTGCTCCCTCTCTTTTCTGCTGATCTGGATTTAGACCTGTAACGGTCAGACGACCTGGAACGTCTGCGCCTGGACCTCCGGGAAGACACTCTTCTCTCTCTCTTCTCCACAGATCTGGATCTAGATTTGGAATGCTTTTTTCTGGAATCTGAATAGTTTCTGCTCCTAGAACGTGCTCTTTTAGAGGTCAAACGTCTGGAAGCAGAACGCGACCTGGATTTTTTCTTCCGCTTCCTAGACCTGGACTGAGACTTGGAGCGACTCCTTTTTTGCTTCTTTGCATCATGTTTTTTATCACTGCTTCTGTGGCTACTTTTTTCAATAACTTTCTCAAGTCTCATTAGAGTCTCCCTCATTCGTGCTGCCACATCAGGTTGCACATCAGATGTTTCTGAATCTCTCTTCTCCGACTCCTGTTCTGGAGTTGCTTCTTTGACAGCCTCAGCCTGTGGAATGACTTCTGACTGGCTTGCCTCTGCCACAAGTACTGGAACTGCTTCTGTAACAGTCTCAGGTACCGAAGCTGCTTCCAAATCTTTTGTCTCTGCCTCCAACCCCACAGCTGCTTCTGCATCTTTCAGTTCTACAACAGTCTCAGGAAGAGGAGCTGTTTCCAAATCTTTTGTTTCTGCCTCATGAGATGTAGATGCTTCTGATTGTTTTGTGTCTCTGACTATTTCAGATTCAGGAGTCCCTGCTGCATCTTTTTCATCTGCTGCACCTGAAGCACTAGAAACTGTTTCTGCTATTAAAGGCTCAGATGCTCGAGTTTGCTCTGCATCTTCCTTCTCAACCAGTATCTCACATTCCTGAGCTTCACCTGGAACTCTCACATCCTCCATTTGTTGAACCTGCACCCCTTCTGCATACTGTACTTCTGCTGCCACTTCATGTTCTAGTGTTTTTTCTAGATCTTTCACGTCCCCTGGTTTTGGAAATGCTTCAGAAGATTTCATTTCAGGAGCACTCAAGATTTCTGTAGCCTCTTCTTTACTCTTCCATTCTGGAAGCAAAACCTGCTGCAGAACTGCTTGTGGATGTTCCTGCTTTTCAGCATGCAAAGGTTCTGGAACAGCTTCTGAAGCACCCTCTAAAACATCCACCTCCCCCACATTTCCAGACTTATGGGAAGTTTCCAAACCTTGGATATCCATGTGTACCTCGGGCTCTTTGACTGTTTCAGAACTTTTCACCTCTACTGTTGCAGACTCTTTCATACTTTCCAACAATCTCACTTCTCTAGCTTCTGATGCTGGCTCCAAATATTTTGCTTTCATTGCCTTCTCAGTTTCTGAAGCTTCTTCCAAATCTTTTACATTGATATGCAAGGGTTCATTTTTTTTTGTGCTTGTCCTCCTTGTTGCAATTATATATTCCACAGTAGGTCCCTGAGTTCTCACATCTGTCAAAATCTTAGACTCCAAAGTTCCCTTCAAGTTTCTCCCTTCTGTCACTACTTCTGATGCCATAGTTTTTTCTCCCACTCTGGGCAAAGACTCTAACACTGCTTCTGAACGTCCTACTGTTTGTTCCTGTACAGATTTTGAACTTGTTTCTAAAGTTTGCACTGTCACTGTTTGCACAGGTTCTAGTATTGCTTTATCTGGATCTTCTGGAGCAACTTCAGAATGTCTAATTTCTCTAACCACCTCAGATGACAATGTCCTTCCCAAGCCTTGCATCAATGTCCCTGTTTCAGATCCCTCAACCATTTCCAAATTTTTCATCTGTGTTAAGCGTGAAGTTTTTGATCTCGCTTCCACATCTTTTACCTCTGCAACTGCCTCAACTTCCGACAAGTTGCCTAAACCTCCAACCTCTACAGAAGCAGAACTGGTAGCTAGTTCAGAATCCTTTATCTCCCCTACCATCTCAGTCTGTGAGGTTCTTGTATGTGTCATGACTTGAGACTGTGAAATGATGGAACTCTTTGTTTTGCTTGCACCAAGAGGTTCTGCAACCATTTCTGCATGTTTTGGTTCTCTCTCTGCTGTGGTTTTCAAATGCGTCATTCCGGCTAACGCATGAGACTCTCTAACTGGTTCCGTGCCTACATATCCAACGACAGATTCAGGAGTCCTTTCTGACCTTTCTTCTAAAAGGGTTCCAGGCTGCAAGACTGCTTCTAAAGCTTGTACCTTTGTCACACCTACAGATGCTGGATCTCCTAAATCTCTCACACCTTTCACATGCATCTGTGATGAAGATGTCTTCATCTCTGTCCTGGCTCTCTCAAGGTCTGCCTCTGAATCTTTCCTTTCTGTCTCTGCTACAGGTCCTATAGTTGTTTCCAAACTTTTCACTGCTCTCACAGATCTGACTTTCATAGCTAGGAGACCAGCATCTGAGCCTGCTCCTACTCCTGTCATACTATCTAAATTTATTTCTGGACTTTTTGACACTGCTGTTGAATCTAGTGTTGCTGCTAAACCTCTGGCCACAGTCTCACAATGCACAGCTGCTTCTGAAGCTCTCATACCTTCCATTTGCAAAGACAGTGAAGCTGTTTTCAAAGCTTTTGCTTCCACCACAGCCATTGGTCTTAGGACTCCTCCTAGACCTTTCACGTCTTCTTGCTGCGAAGACAGGGGAGTTGCTTCCAAAGCTCTCACAGTCGATTCACTCCCAGATCCTGATTCTCTCAGCAATGAAGTACCTTCTGAATGTTTTGCCTCTGCTACAGCTACAGGCTGGAGAGTAGATTCTGAAATTTTTGAAGCATTAGTATTTTCCAGTTGCAGAGTAGTTTGACTTGTTTCTCGACTTTTTACTCCTGTTAGTGCTGCAACTTCCATGGCTGCTCGTGGAGCTCTAAAACCCTCTGCCATCGGGATTTCCAGAGTTGTTCGGGGAACAATGGTCTGCACAACTGCTACGGGTTCTAAAGTTGCTCTTAAACCTTTTGCCTCTGCAAACAAGTTCACATCTGTCAATTCTCCTGGAAGTACAGACTCCTGGGTTCTATCCACACTTCTTGTTTCTGTCAAGACTTCAGGTTGTAGGAGCAATCTTGATGCATTCGGCATTGTTGCCGGATCAATGTTACCTTCCACATCTTTGACTACTTCAACTTGCAGACATTCTCGAGCTGCTTTGACATCTTTTGCTACAATACCCACAGGTTCCATGATTGTTTCCAAAGTTTTGGGCTTTACTACACCAATCGGCTGCAGAGCTTCTTCCAAAGCTTTCACATTTTCCATATGTGTAGAGCTTCTAGCTGGTTCAACATCCTTCACTTTTGTAACAGCTCCTGGTCCCAGGGGTATTTTGGCACTTTTTACTTCCAGCTGGGTCACAGCAGTCGCTGCAGAAATTTTAAAAGGATGCTGCAAAGATACATCTGCCTTCAAGACACCTGAACCCTCTGTGGCGCTGCACTGTGTCGCTCTCAAATTATCAGATATAATTGAGGGCTTCAGGGCTGGCTCCAAAGTTCTGCTCACACCTCCTAATTCCAAAGATCTTTCCACATTTCCTATATGCAGAGATTTTTCAGGTGCTTCTGGAATTTTCACTTCTTCCATGGCCACAGACACATGAGTTACCTTCACAGTATTCAGATCTGCCTGATTTGCAGATTTAGGAATTGTTGTCACATCACCTGCCAAATACACAGATTTTGAAGTTGCTTCTAACTCTTTTGCTGCCTCCTGTGCCACAGGTTGCAGAGGTGCTTCTGAGTATTTCAATACCTCCATGGTCTCAGACTCAAGAGCTGTATCCAAAGCTTTTACTTGCCCAGTGTCTTTAGATTTCAGAATAACTTCTGAACCTTTTAGTGCTTGTATTACTTCTGAAGCTAGAGTTGCTGCTGAATCTTTCTGAATTTCAGATTTACTGGCAACTCCAGATGGGATGCTAGATGAAGCGACATTTCCAGTATCAACAAGAACACCCTTTTCACTTGCATTAATACCTATAGGATAAATATTTTCGTGAGACTGTTTAATTTGTTCTTCTCTAGTGCAAATTTTAGTTTGAGTTATACTAGCATTTTCTTGGATATCCGATTGGCTGCCTTCTAAATTAAATGGAGGATTTGTTACACACAAAGTCCCCTTCTCACTTCCAAGATTTTCCGTAGATTGAGGAGAATCAGTTCTTGAATGAGAAACAAGTCCTAAAGCTTGTCTATCAAGCTCCTCACTTGCTTTTGAGCACAGTTCTTCTGGCTGCAAGTGGACAGCCAGATTTGCATCTCCAAATCCTCCATGCTGTACACTCAATTTGGAGCTTGATTTCTCTGGCATCGAGAGAGAAGCAGGTTGCAAGTCTGCATGTTCTCCATGACGTGTACTCAGCTTTGACTCCTTTGGCTGCTTTTTATGTTTTTTCTCTTTCTTTCTTTTCTTCTTCTTTTTCTTCTTCTTCTTGCTTTTGTGTTTCTTGTTCTTCTTTGATTTTTTCCTAGGAATTTCATCTTCAGCAGTAGAGCTTCTTTTTGTAGACTGAGTACTATTTTTCACAGTATTTTTGTCCACATCTAGAAAAAAGGATATTTTCCTTGTAAATGTTATTAAAATTACATTTTAAAAATTCTTTCAGACTAGTGACCAAGTACGTGGACAGAGGTACAAAACATTTAAACTTGACATCCATGCCTTCCTCACTAAACCACCATACACACACTCCCTTTTCAGCCCTCTTACCATTCCTCTCAGGAGTCACTTTAAGTAAAAATAAGTAATTCTTCTTTCAAAAAGTTAACCAAAACTTCTTGGTCAGCAACATGGTTCCAGTGGGAACATGACCCTTTCCAAGCAGTAGTTGGATATACTTCCACCTATATTCAACTGAGCAGTGCATTCTTCCAGGAGACTGGAGATACGCTTTTAAACTACACTAAGCTGCATATGAACTGGAGCAAGAGCTCCCATTTTTCAAGCAAATTATCTAAGTGGTGGTATGCTTATTGTATAAAATGTGGCCAGCCCATTATTCCCTCCTATGCTTTGACCTGTGAGTGAGCAAAATATTACTAGTGTGTTAGAAATTACCTAAGCATATTTACTGATTAAGTTCCTCACAGACTGATTTCTTCAAATAAATTTAGAGAAACAGCATCCACCTTCCCCAATCCCAAACAAGTTTTAAGGCACTGCAGGCAACCAGCTGCCCAGACCAGACTGCAGTTGCCACAAGCAGCTGCAAACCTGCAAGTACCTAATAGAGCTTTTGCTTCAACAGGAAAGTAATAAATCCAAGTGACTGCAGGGACAAGCAATCACTGAGGGGTAAAGAAATAAGGAAGATTGAGGTTTTGACCACCTTCTTTAAATTCTACACCTCATTTCCCTCTGAATTTAACCTGTGTTAGATTCTTACCCTTCTTTGGATCTAGTGCCATGTTTTCACGGCAAAGGCACTTCTATTAAAGGCAACTTGTCATAACTTGCATTAAGTATCAGCTACATATTCAAGTCCGCTTCCATGTTATCTTCAATAAGTATATATATATGGGCCAGTGCAGCAATATGGCTCTCCAATTATAATCTGGCTGTGATTACAAAGCATAGTCTTTCAAATAAACAATGCAAAATCATTCAGCAACTGTTTGTAACTGCAATAGTATTAAATGAACATGACTTAAGATTGCATAAACAAGTACCTCAGGTAGTTTTAAGCACATGCATTTTTATGGAATAAACAGCTTAACAAACAATAGTGTTTCCACCAATATTGTGAATGCAATGGAAGAGGACAATGAAGCAGAGTCAAATGATCTTTTCTACACAGCATTTTCAGAAAATTTCTGTTGTCCAACAGCAACATTAACTCCTTTCCAGATATGAACAGTGGGAACGTTTACCATAGATTAAGTTTATTAGCCAACTTCTAGGTTAACAGGTCTCACTTACTTATTACCATATTAGCTTGCCTCACTCTTCTACAAAGAAAATACAAAAAGCCCACAAAAAACCCCACCAAACAGAAACCAGCCTAAAGTGCTGCTTGTACAGCGTAAGTGAAAGACCGTTGAAAATGCTCAAGGTAAACAAGCCACTGTGCATAAAAGAAAAAGCAATTCCAAACCTGGCAAACAGAATCTCTGAAATAAACAATTTTCTACACCGCCTCTTAAAAAAAAAAATCACTCTGGAACTATACTTACCAAGCACATAGCAGTCACCTATGTTTCAACTCCAAAAAATTAAAAATGCATTAATTAGAGCCTTCATCTCCCTAACTCAGAAATTTTACAGAAAGGACTAGTCCCATGAGAAGGGATACTCATATGCAACTGATCTGTTGAAGCTATGAGATTGCTACATAAAAATTTCTTAACCTTTGGAAGATTGCAATGTGAGTATCTGCATTTTAAAGATAAGTGCATTATTAATCTTAAAAAAACAAAGCGTCTTACTCTGACAGAATAATCATACAGTTCCGAATTCTAATAAATTATTTTTAGAAATAACCTTGCAAACCAATCCCAAACAACACAATAAACAATGCTACTATCCATCAGTACCTGCTTTGTAGGTAAGAACTGCTCATTGAGACCCTAAAGTAGATACATACAAAATAAAGCACAATTATATATGGATATTAATTATACATTTTATCATTATTGTAATGGAGAGGAAAGAATAAAAATAACTTTTTCACACAGTAAGTAATGCTTCCATATAATAACCAGCTTCGATTTTTAAATTATGTATTTCTCTGTCCATCTATGGTTGTAAATCACAGCAGACAAAAAAAATACTTAAACATTACAATACAACTTGTCAGATGAAGCTTGGTGAGAGGAACAGTACTGAAAAGTACTTTTTCATCTCTGTAAAATTGATTCAATTTTAAGCACTATGACAATCTTCTTAAACAAGAACATATTTGCCAAATGTGTTTTCATTTACCTGATTTGCACTGCAGCTCTGTATCAAGGGCTCCAGAGAGCACTTCCTCTATTTTCTGCACTATCTGATCATTCTGACGACTCCCAGCACCAGCAACAGTGTCATCTGAAGGGTTGGCTTGCTCAGCTGGGATTGTGTCACCATTGGGCTGGCCTTCTACCTTTCCACTAACCAAAAAAAATATCAACATAATACAAGCAATTTTGAGCCTTTTTTGATTTTAATTCATAAGCATTTATTATACTCAACCCTTCAATACAGTATTTTAGCCTCCTGAAGAAGCCATGCTTTTAGTGAAACATCTGCCTTTTGAATAACTTTCACTTATTCACAACAGAACCCGTTGTGACAACTGAGCATTAGGCACAAGGGAGGAAAACATGTTCTCGACTGTGCCAAAGTCCCCACGCTTTATGTAAGAACTCGTACAGGCTCCCCTGACAAAATAAACACCCATCACTCACTTTTCTCCAGTAGATTTTGCTTGCTTTGCGAGATAAGGCCGGTAAAAACTCGGCGGGCTTAAACATAGTAAAAACAGTAAGACAAATTGCACAGACGCTCGCCTCTTCCCCTTCTGCCCCGACACAAGAGACCGACATCGAAAAACCCGTGAGTGAAAATGAGTTGCGCG